CTGAGTATGGCAGCTCATGATTCCACCATGGGTTCATGACCAATTGACCATGTTCCATGATGCTACTTCTTGCTTAGGATGGGTTCCATGGGCTACTGCGAGCATGTTATGGAGGTTATTATTTTGTTTGCATTTTCATTCATAGGTTGGAACCCAACCCTTACCCAATCCAACCTATATCAAATTATTTTTTCCCCAAAATCCATCCCATGTCATGCTTTTAAACGTGTGTTGGGTTTTGGGGTTGGAGTGGGTTGGGCTCAGTTTTTAGGGTGTTTGGTTGGGAGTTGGGTTTAACCTAGGAGGGGAATATTCTATGCAGTAGGTTGGGTTCAACCTAGGAGAGGAATGTTCTGTGCAGATGTGGGTTCAACCCAACCCAATTCAACCTGCCAACTAGTTGAACCCACAGGTTTACATAAAACATACATACAAGCTCTTATATTTGCATAAAAATATATGGATCTACGTTAAAAGTCTGACCATTGGATTTAAAATCTCGCATTTGCCCAATAAAATATTGAAAGCAACTAAAAATTAGTTCAGATAATTCAACTACTTAGTGCTAATTAGCACTGTTAAATCAACATGTGGGCTCCACATTAAAGCTAGACTCTAGAATTAAAACCTTGGGTCCACACTTCACAATTTTAGTGGAAGTGACACAAATTTATCATATATACTATACAATGTGACGTGAAACTATTTAGTGCAGTAAAAACTACATGTGGCACCACAGAGCTGAATCTGGAACTAAAAGCTTGCGTTCACACCTTAAACTTTTAACAAAATTGACTAAAATTTGTTGGATATGATTAAAAATGCATTGAACTTACTTATTGCCAATTAGCATGGCATGAGATTTACTTGTGGCCCTACATTAGAACTTAGACCTTGAAACTAAAAAGCTCATGTTCAGACTAAAATTTTAACGAAATTAACTGAATTTTTTTTGGATATGATTCAAAATGACATGAAGCTATTCTTTGCCAATTAACATGGTAAGATAAGCCATGACTGAAAGTATTGTTGGCTGATTTGTTGTGAGAGAAAAATATTGTTCGTTGGCTGAAAAAGTACGGCTTATAAGCCAAGCGAACAGGGCGCTACTTGTGGCCTCATATCGAAAATCAGACCCTAAAACTAAAAGCTCAGACTCTGCGCTGGCATTTTGTATTTTGATGACTTAGTTTTCAGTTTTTGTTTGTTTTTAACGATCTAGCAGTGACTTTTAGGTAATGGTAAAAAGGGGAAGTGGTGAACTCAGACTGAGAGAGGGTAGAGAGACCGAGAGAAGAGAAAGAATACTGTCGTTTGTCGGTGGAAGAGGAGGGAGAGAAGAGACAGTATTTGCTTAGTGGGCCGGCCGGTCGTGGGCCTTGGTCTTATTTCTAGAGGAGAGTCGATAAAAATGCTCCATTCGAAAATTAAAATTCTTGTCTTCAAAAATTGTTTTTTGTAGTAGTGCAAGTATGCCCTAAATTTTTGTAGGGATTTTCCTTGGGTTTCTCTCCTCTTCATTTCAAACAAACCTTTATGATTTTATTCTAAGGGGGCAGACCCAATGCCGGAGGCTCCCACATGATTTTATTCTAAGGAATAACATTAATATTGTTATCCAATAGAATTGTAGAACCATGAGGGGGAAAACCCAATGAATTCAAGAAAACCCAAAAAGTTATGAAGAAAACGCTCCATCCATTCAAAATTATTTTAACTTTGTTCAAGTTTATAGAAAAATACACTACAAATATGCAGTATCCAATTAGCAAGTTTTATTAAATCCACCATAAGTCTTGGTAGTGCTTTATTTGGTATTCTAGATGTTAATATACCTTTATGAATATTGGTAATATATTTTTGTATAAGTTAGGAAAATTTGATTATATGACAAAAATTAAAAGGACTACACTTCAAAAAGCAAGATGAGTAGTAGACTAATAAAAATACAAGGAACATGTCAGATAAGATGGAACAACAAGGTTTCGAGAATAGATTTGATCCAAATTCCAAAGTGTTAGGATGTCATAAAGCTTCATTATCTGTTGCAAAAGTGATTAAAAAAGTCATTTATTTGTGAAAAAATGTGGGCAACAATTCTGCAGCTCATGATAGGAACCCTGCACAGAATGAAGGAGCATGGTCGCGTGTGCAAGCACTCTGCAATTATGTCCATGTAGTAACTTATACAGAAACGAAGAACAAAGCGGAAAAATGCTAAATCAATTATGACCATGTTTGAAGCCTCAGCTCTTGCGATTATTATCACGAAGGTACTCTTTGTCAGACCATGTCGGCATAAATCTTGCAACGCGCAAGTCATCACAGGCTGGCCATGGGATGGGAACAAAAGCATGCACGCATGCGAACAGGAAGTGAATAAATAACCTGATGGAAGAAGAACGAACGAAACATATGCATGAAGTTTTTTGAGGGACAATTATATATGCATTAATTAAGTGTGTGCAACAAACATTTCTGCAAGCCAGTTAAAAGGGTGTATAACTGTGTATATGTATACATACCGATATGCAACGTATATAAGAAGGCTCTGTGTTGCGTCGGAGTACTAGCTTAGTTAGGAGCCTAGCTAGGACCTGTGTTAATTTGGCATGTACTCTGGATCACCAGGATCAGTTTGAGTTTGAACCAGCTGGTACTGGTTGTGGTAGCAAAAACATATATATATATATATATATATATATATATATATATATATATATATATATATATATATATATATATATATATATATATATATATATATATATATATATATATAGAGCTAGTGAAGAACACACACGTGCGTGAGCGTGAGCTGGTTTCCGTGGTGGCCATGTAGAAGTAGCGAGCTGCGAGCTACGACCAGTAACCATACCGTCGAGGAAGCTGCCGGCCGGTCCGTCCGATGAGAAGGAAACCGGACGCTCTCACCAGCTGACCAGCTCCACGAGAAGGCAAGGATCGGAGACTCGGAGTACTCCTTTCTCCAAGAATAAATAAACGTCTCATTCTATTCTTAAATTTAATTAATTATCGAATTTATAAAAATATATAATAATATCAACATTTGTATCTAAAATATATTTATTAGAATATATTTCACTATAAATTTAACAATTATTATTACACATCATAAATATATTTTTATATATTTAATTAAAAATTAACTCTTAAAAAGTGATACTCTCTCTGTTCCAAATTATAATTCATTTGACTTTTTTGACTTCATGTTTGACCGCTCGTCTTATTCAAAAAAATTATACAAATATAGTCAAATTTAAGTCATTATTGAAGAACTTTTGTTAATAAAGCAAGCCACAACAAATGAAGTGATATTTAGCACAAATTTTCGAATAAGACGAGTGGTCAAATTTGGAATAAAAAGTCAAACCAGCTATAATTTGAAACGGATTTAGCATGTATGTTTTTTTTTACTGACGAAGAGTAGTATGTTCTCGTAGTGTGCTGTCGCATCATCAGTCAGCACGCAGTTGACTTCGCTGTCCATCCGTTGAAAAGTGGACGCCGCCAACTAAACTAAAAGTTATTCAGGAGCACGCATAAGAAGGTGTCGTTTTTCGCTTGCAAGGTGTCGGAAGTCTGAAAGAAAATGATGTTAATTGTCAGTCCTTAATATCGTTTCACTTGCTTCGCGTCTAACAAAGAAGGCTCTTCTTGGTACATGGATGGCGTCCATGTAATTAAAAATTTATTATTTTCTTCTTTTGATTAGTTTTAATTTTCATGAACGGTTTTACAAACTACCGAAAATGTTTCAGCACAAACTATTTAACCAAACAAACATTACCATCCTTCATTCCTTCCTTTGAATAAGTGTATAGGATAATGTTTACCTACCACAAACGGATTTTGTTTATGCCTCATCGTGCTTTTATTTGGGCTTTGCTGGGCTTGCAGTGTCATCTGTGGAGGCCCATGTCTGCCTTTACCAGGTCCTTAACTGCAATATGATGGGCAGGTTGAAAACAGGCCTCCAGCCCAAACAGAGAGAGAGAGTAAAACACCTTGCATGGGGTCATGTTAAGTGTTAACGTGGAACACTTTGTACACATTTGGGCTGGAGGCCGAAACACACAGATGAATTTATGAATAATTGTGACATTTGCTTGGTGGAACAAGAATTTTTTGATGCAATCCCAAATGATGATGTGATAGTTCGCTCTCACAACATGAATGACCACACTCATAGAGTGAATTTATAAGAGATAACCATGATTGTAAAGAATTTTATTTTGTCTTATTATGATATTGCTAATTTTATCCCTCCATATGAATGCTTGACTTGTGAAATATGCCGTTATCATTAATATTTACTCCTTCCATCCCATAATAAGTGCACTTTTAGAATTCAGAATTTATCCCAAAATAAACGCATCTCTAGGTATAAGGCAACATAACTCTAGTTGTCTTTTTCTACTTTCTCTTAGGGTAATGATAACATCTTTATAAGGGTATATATATGTAATTTCTCACTAGCAGTGATCTCTTCACCAAAGACATAGAAGTGCATTTATTTTAGAACGGAGAGAGAGCATATATCTATGTTGTGTATAGACCATAGCGTCAGATTACTAGATGTTTTGGTCATATATATCAGTTTGTGCTGACTATTGACCAGGTGATGATTTATTCTGGATTCGCCACTGATTTTTTTTTTCTGCACACATCCATACAGACAGCAAGCGTTTTGTACGTGGCCGAGGCGTCGCCGTCGCGCCCATTGGGATGGGCCGGCCGGACGGAGACCCAGGTGGATGGCAGCGAAGGCTTTGTTTCGATCGACCGGTTGCATGCAGGTCGAGTTCGATTGACGGCGGCGAAGGGAGGGCTTTCCGTTACCAAGTGTCTCGACCGCTGCCTTTATCCCTTCGCATGCATTTCGGACCCTCCGCGCCACACACAACTAAAAAGTATCTCCCGCGCGCGGGGACCCTCCTCCTCTACGCCAGCTAGCTGGTAGCCCGCCCCCGCCGGCCATGGCCTCCGACGCGCGGCTCTCGCTACCGTGCCGCCTGCCCTCGCTGCTCCCTCCGCCGGTGCTCCTGCTCCGCCGGTGCTCCTGCTCCACCGGTTGCCGCGCGCATCAACCTCCCCGCGGTGCCGCGTCGGGACGGCGGCGGTGCCCGCGCGCGCCCGCTGCCGGTGCCGGCCTCGCGCCTCCGAGGGTGAGGCGCCGGGCCCGGTGCAGCAGCAGGAGGTGGACAACGAGGTGGTGGACAGCAACGTGCTCCCCTACTGCAGCATTGACCGCAAGCGGAAGAAGACCATCGGGGAGATGGAGCAGGAGTTCCTCCAGGCGCTGCAGGCACGTGCGCCGCGCGCGTACCCATTGTTGATTGATACCTGCTGGTCAAAAATCGAATTAATCCAGCATCTTAGTTGCTGTTCATCATGGTGTTATTGGTATATATGTAGGCCTTCTATTACGACCAGAAGGCCATCATGTCCAACGAGGAGTTCGATAACCTCAAGGAGGAGCTCATGTGGGAAGGAAGCAGCGTTGTGATGCTAAGTAAGTAATCCCCTCCTGCAACTTACTGTCGGTGACATAAACGTGTTCCAAAGCCTGCCACACATAGTATTTTTCCTTAGACAAGATACACGAGCTATGCGATGTTGGTGGGACAGCGGCGAGACGGATGCTGGGGCATTCAGCAATTTTTGTTTGTCTCGAGCGCGCAGAAATGATTTGCTCATGCCAATTCCTAATCAATGTTCATTTGTTTTTGCCTTGGTTAGGCGCGGATGAGCAAAAGCTTTTGGAAGCCTCCATGGCATATGTCTCTGGCAACCCCATCATGACGGATGAAGAATTCGATCAACTAAAGCTGAGACTAAAGGTTTGTTCTTGTTATCCTGTGAATCTTTTGCTAGTGCGATGATGGTGTGATATGCTGTCCGAAAAGCTGTAGCGATTCTGTGCAATTCTTAGTCCCTATCAACCAATTTTCCTCCTTTACTTACCAAGGATGGTCGATGTTAATTAATCTGTCTCTATTTCTCAAGTATATGACTAGAACAACTAGAAAGGAAGCAGAGAAAAATATCATATGGGGAAAAAGACATTTGGAGCTGTGAAAACTCCACCAAAGACCATCTTTAGATGTTTGGAAAAACTCTACAGAAAAAAAAACATACACATAGAGTCAGGGGTAACGCACAATAAGCATGTAAGCTCTAAGATCAAACTTGCTTCTCTTTCTGAGTTATGAAAAGGGAAAACATTTTTTTTTGTTTACTTGTCAATTTGATATCCCACAAGCGAAGTCGGGTTTGTGCATCACCGGCTTCTTTGCATCTATAACTACGAGTTCTTTTTAGGATCATGAGAGAGAATAGCGTGGTATATTGTTGTAGCTTCCTCCCTCTCTTTGATCTCTTTATGTTGTTCTGAACTCTGTGTTTACTTTCCTTTTTAATAAAATCTCCTGTAGGGGCGATCGGCCCTTCCAATTTCGTCAAAAAAAAAAAGAATAGCGTGGTATAGAAAATGAGGTGCTAACAATATAGCAAGTCATTACCAACTTAAAGTAAAATAAGTAGCAGCATTAAGAAAACAGCCTATTACTAAAAGACCACCATGATTGCACCATAAGCACATAAAGCATTATTCTTAATCTGCAATTATTTTCCTTGGTAATTTCTCCTCTCTAGAAAGAAGGAAGCGACATTGTACAAGAAGGCCCAAGATGCAGCCTACGGAGTCGAAAGGTATATAGTGCCTCCATGATTTTTTACCTCTACTTGTTCACTTATAAGTCTTTATTTTCTAAAAAAATAATCATTCAATTTACTATCCTTGCCATTTATTCTTCGTCATGACAACCCACATTGGAAAGAAAGGCATAGTTTATTTCCTTACCATCAGAAGATTAGGACCAGTCCTTTCATTAGCTTGCCACCAAACTTTTCACAACATGTTGTTTATGCTTCCTTCAGTGATCAAAAGCCTGACAGTGTTCAGCCTCTATACCATGTGAACTGTAACTGAACATTATTAGTGGGTTAAATCTTGAATTATGCTTTATTTATATTAATTTTTTCTATTTAGTTTTCTAGTGTAATGGGTGAAATCTTCTGTGATATTAAGTCCCCACCTTGAAATCAAAGATGAGAAACATTCTTGTAGGTCTCTTGTACCAACTACCAAGTAAACAGACCAGGAAATTTAATAAAACAGTATCACACAGCCAAGTCAGATGAGTTTACACTATAGTTAGGATTAGACGTGACTTTCCCATTTTCACTGATTTTGCTAAGTAACGTGAGTTGGTCCATTCGAAGAATCCTGACTTTCTATGGAATTTTGTGCAGGTCTACAGTGACTTGACTGTTGACTACTTCAAGATGTTGTTGCTCAATGTTCCAGCAGCTGTGGTAGCTCTGACACTGTGAGTATTACATGGAAATTCTGGCATGAAAGGAATAAAAAGAGGATTGCTTAAATTCTCCTTTTTTTTCAAATGGTCATGTTACACCGCAGCCCAATATAGCTATTGTTTTAGGATGGATACTATCTTCATCAACAACTCTAAGATGTTTAATGCACGTTTTCTTCTTGACAGATTCTTCTTCTTGGATGATTTGACGGGATTTGAAATCACACTTCTTCTTGAGGTAAGTATTGACAAATTGAAGTCTTACTATATGCTATTGTTTTTGTTTAGGGCTTTAGGCTTCTGGACAAGAATTAAGAAATTCTATAATAGTACTTCACTATCCTTGATAATTTCTTGTAGTATACTGAAAGTTGTTTCTCATGAGCTGGAAGCCTGGAAGTTGAAAATTGGGGTTCCACTGTAGATGACTCTAGTGGTGCTGTAGTGGGTGTGGGCTGCTGCAGTGCTGCTAAATTAACCACGGCCGCCTGACTATTAACTGAACCCTTTTGGAGATAATAATAACATGTCACCTCAGGCTAGTGGAAATTCATTTTCTTATATTAAAAAGTTCCCTCCTATGACATCATATTTTTCCTGCATAAAGTGAGCAGCTTGGTCCAAACTGTTCAAACATTCATGCTAGGCAATCAGACTGGCCGACGAAGCAATGTGCACGCAACCAATTTATTCCACTTGTTTTTACCACTGATTATTTTCTCTTTGCATCAAGATAATGCGGTTGTTTCCTGGTTAGTTGTTTCTGAGACCAACTTATTACAGACTAGACTTTTTTGACGCAATATTACAGATCAGACTTGTATTTGAGAGTTCTGATAAAAATTAACGGCGGTCGTCTTTTGATTCTAGACCATGGCAAGCATGTAACTTACAGTGTGTGCGTGCGAGCGCGTGCGGATGTGTTTTACTTCTAAAAACTTCTTCTCCCTAATGCAATGATGAGCGACATCTTTCTTGTCATGCATGCCACATTTGAAATAACTTTTTTTATACTGTAGGTTCTTTAGTTGGTGTTTGTGCTGACCAAGAAATTTAATTATTTGTAACTGCATTTTTCTTATTTATGCAGTTGCCAGAGCCTTTCAGTTTCATCTTCACATGGTTTGCCGCACTGCCTTTAATATTTTGGGTAGCACAGGCAATCACTAATGTCATAGTGAAAGACTTTCTGATTTTGAAGGTATTTTTCCTTTTTGTTGTTCATACATTATTGTGTGGTTAACTGGAGCGCACATAGATGATTATTCTTTTTTCAGGGCCCATGTCCAAACTGTGGGACTGAAAATCTTTCCTTCTTCGGGACCATATTGTCAGTGTCCAGCGGTGGTTCAAAAAACAGTGTGAAATGTACAAGGTATGCCTTCCATTATTAATACCAAATTCTGTAGGCATTTGGGCTTATATGCTGAGCAGCATTTATTGCTATGCTTGTGCATCAGTTGTGGCACTACGTTGGAGTACGACTCTGCATCCCGATTGATTACACTCCTAGAACCGGCTGAGGCATAAGTAATGGTGGTTTAGGTGAGTCATTATCCTACGAGCCTGCAACCATCAATGGTGACCAAAGTCTATGCTACTGATTTCATAGTTGTGGTTACTTATTTATGAATCAAACCACAGTGGGCTAAACAACTAAAGAGTTTAGGAAAGTATGTAAGATATAGATAGGACATACATTGTTTATGTTACAGAGTTCTAACTGCATGGATATTCCTAGATTTCGCTAGCAGGAAAGACGGCCCACAGATTCCTGATCGATAGTACAAAGCAAGACCGTCCTTGAATTGGGTGACAATCATGTCGTGATGTATGTTAGTTTGCTATGCGAGTCTATGTATATCTTTGAACAAGTTTAGACATCTGTATTATATAGATTTAACGAAATCGATATATGTATATATGTGCATAGAGTGTACAAAGAAGAACTAGCTATGTTCCATTTTGTATGAACTATCTTGGCATATGTATAGCTGTCTGAAGAATTTGACGTTCTGTGCGATGTTCAGTAAAAGAATCAGTAAACCAGGTATCATCGTAAAAATATAACTTGACTAAAGTCTCCCAGTATGAGTTCGTAGTCAAGTTAATTTCGAAGACATAAAGACTGATGCCTCTTCTTGACGTCAAGCTGACAGAAAGTGTGCAGTTCTTCATCTGCGCGTCATGGTATATTGACTATTGAGGTGGCCAGAGCAGGTCGAAAGTTTGGGACCCACTACACCACAACACTCAGATTGGTGTTAGACTATCTGTCACTAAAAGCTGATATAGCGACACATGATCAGTTGCTAAAAAGTTAAAGCGATAGACTTATACAGTCTCATTAGATTTTTCATGAAACATATTTTTCTAATATACTTATTTGACATATAAATATTAATATTTGGTTAATCTTTATGGACTTTAATCGAGAGTTGCATTCTTTTAAGATGGAGGTAGTACTTATTTTGTGTATAATAACTAACTATATTTAATTTTGAGGTAGGGGCAGGGGCCGGAGAGTATATAATAGCTAGGTGTATGTAGGTTAGCTCGATGTTGGGCAGGAGTGACGCCATCTGGAACCTCCTCTATAGTATAAGCATGCTAATTCGCCACGACCCAACGCCAACGATCGAGCGCTTGAGCGTGCATGGCGCCTGCGACGGCGGTGGGCAGAAAATATTAGTTAGACGTGTTGGCCAAGTGCGCGTGCGTACCCGCCACGACACAATGCAACGCCGATGAGGCGATGAGGGCTTGTGCGCCTGTGCCTGCGCCTTCCCACTACGGTGGCCTAGGTTATACCGATGATGCGGGGGTTCGTTTCGTTAGCTTCAGGGTATGTAGTGCTGGCCGGGGGTGTAGCTGTTAGGCGTTAGCGTGTGTTTGGTTGTGAGACTTGCTGGGTTGGGTTAGATCCATCTCTGATTTACTTGAATGGGGTGAACGTAGCACCTGATTTTAAGGACAAAACTAGATACACACCATATATGTGTTCAAGAATCCAATTCACACATATAGCTATAAATGAAGAGGTAATATCAAAGACAATACCTTTATTACATAGCGCATAAATATTCGTTACAAAAGACATAATCTTACTTTACAGTATATACTATAACTCTATTTTTCGGGCGAAGCCTCCAACACCACAAGAACCGTCAACTGGTTGATCACAAGCCTAACACCTCTTGAGAAACTCCACTAAAGAACCTCCTTCTGGTACCCGTCCGGGATTTTGCCAAAGTATTGAAATACACTACATGAAAAACGGTTTGTAGCAATAGGAGAAATTCTTTGTAGGGGTGGCTGGTGATGGAGCCGCTCCTACAGTGACGTGCTCGGGAGCCATGAGACCAGCCACCCCTACAAATGGAACAGCAGGGGCGGCTGGTTATATGAGCCGCCCCTACAAATAGGTCAGATTTATAGGGGTGGCTCAATCACCAGCCGCCCTCGGTGTTGCTATTTGTAGGGGCGGCTGGTGATTGAGCCGCCCCTACAAATACCCCGCGTATAAATACCTGCGATTTGTAGGGGCGGCTCAATCACCAGCCGCCCCTACAAATGACCCACATATAAAACAAACTGTAGATCCTTCTTTCTCCTCGGGTCATTCACTCCGACCCATGAAAGAAAGGTGAGGAGGCCTTAGGCACCTCCCAAAAATTGCTCTACTAAGGGGGAAAGGTTTTGATCTCAAATCCTTTGGTGGAGAGGTTGTAGAAGATAAGAAAATACTATTCCACACTTTTTTTGAAGTTTTAATGGATGATTAGTGAGTAATTAGAGTTTTACTTTTCTCTCTCTTCTATGGTGTTTGAGTTACTTATGAAGCAAATTAGACCCAAGTTTTGAATGTACTTGGATAAATTAGGTAGGGAAACAAGATCATACCCTTATTTGGTCCATGTTTCTTGATTTTAGTGAACAATTAGTTAGTTTTATGGATGTTTCATGTGCATGTAGATCTAGATCTAGGGTTTGATTTTTTTATTAATTTTGTTTTTATAAATTTATGTTTGATGAAATTGGACTAGGGTTTGCATGAAAGATATTGGGTAAAATATAATTGTTGTTAATTGTTGTCTTTGAAATTGTTTATTGTAATCAACAAATATATATTTTAATTATTTATGGATAAATGGGCCATTAATTAATTTTCCTCTACCATGGTGTGTTTGTTTACTTCATGTAATTATATTTGATTTATATTCATATTTATCTAAAGTATATACAATTATTCTCAAGTAATAATTAATTTGATTCATTTATATATATATATATATATATGAATAAGTAGTCATTTAATGTTTGTTTTGTTGTTGTTGTAAAAGATGGAGTACAGAAACTCTTGGATGTATGGTTCGTTAAGGTTCGAGGCAGGTTTCCGTGAAGAGGTGGATAAATTTATTGAAGCCGTAAAGAAGCATGCAACGACGTTGACAGAGAATAAGGATACAAATATTTGTCCCTATAAAGATTACAAGAACCATATGGCATGGACAGACGTGACTATCATTAGATCACATTTGTTTATGCGAGGATTTGTTGAGGACTACACAGTGTGGATTCATCATGGTGAAACGGTTATTGTTAACGACGAGGATGAGGAGAAATACGACGACGAAACCCTAGAATCCCTATCCCAATATTCAGCAGAGCTTGATGCACAAATGGATCCCGAGTTTGGTAATGAACAAGGTGGTGATGCTGGTGGTTGGGATGGTAACGACGAAGGTGGTGCCAATAATGATGGTGGATCACGTGTCGGGGATGAAGATGATTTGGAGGACATGATTCGAGCCCTTGGACCAGAGATTTTACTAAAAAGCCCAAAAGGTCTAGAAAATTTGGAAAGGGTGACAAAAGCATCGAAGGAGACTGTGTATGGTGTTTAAAAGGGCTGTCTGACATATTGGACATTGCTACATTTTGTGCTTGAGCTACTCATCCTGAAGGCTAAGTACGGTTGGTCAGACTATAGTTTTAATGATTTATTGCGTCTCCTATCATGGGTGCTGCTACAACCAAACTCAGTTCCTGCCAACACATACTAAGCGAAGAAGGTCATAAGTCCATTGACAATGGGGGTTGAAAAAATCCATGCATGCCCCAACCATTGTATACTTTTTCGTGGCGAAACGTTCAAGTCACTGGATAAATGTCCCCGGTGTGGGGCCAGCCGGTACAAGAACAATGACCTTTACGGTGGGGACGAAGCCTCCACGGGAAAAAAGAGGAATAAGAAGGGTACAAAAAAGGTGGTACAAGAATCTTAGCCCCCAGAGGACACTCCATTAGGCAATGATGCAAAGCAGAGAAGAATTCCTGCCTTGGTAATGTAGTACCTGCTAGTGACTGATCGCTTGAGACGTATCTTCCTAAACCCTAAAGAAGCCGCACTCATGACATGGTGGGATGATGAGCGCAAGGTGGATGATGATAAGATTGCACACCCGGCTGATTGTAGTCAGTGGCAAAGGTTCGATGAGAAGCACAAAGAATTCAGCGATGACCCAAGGAATGTACAGTTTGGCTTGAGCACCGATGGAATGAATCCCTTCAATGAGAGGATGCGTGACCATAACACTTGGCTATTGATCTTGACTATGTACAACATCCCAACATGGTTGTGTCAGAAGAGAAAGTACCTTCTCCTCACTATTCTTATTTCTGGCCCTAAACAACCAGGCATTGATATAGACGTGTTCCTCGAGCCTTTGATGCAAGAAATAGAGAGGCTATGGAGGCATGGGGAGCCGATGTACGATGCGTTCCGAAAGGAGGACTTTATATGTAGAGCAATAATATTTGTTACTACCAACGATTACCCCACACTGTTTGCTTTGTCTAGACAGATCAAAGGGAAGATGGGATACTTGGTTTGCTTGGATGGTACTACATGGGTGTACCTGGATGCATCCAAGAAGATAGTTTACCTAAGGAACCGACGCTTCTTAAAGACAAGTCACAAGTACCGTAGCAAATTGTTCTTTAGATTTTATGATAACACCCCAGAGATTGAACCCCCTCCGAAGAGACGTCATAACGGAGAACACGTGTATAGAATGGTGAAAAACATACGCGTCGTCTATGGAAAGAAGAATCCGGATGGGACGAACAGAGATAGAAGCACACCTCCTGTCGAAAGCGTACCTTTCAAGAAATAATCGATCTTCTTTTAGTATCTGCCTTATTGGCCAGACTTGGAGGTCCCCCATGCCATTGATGTTATACACGTGCAGAAGAATATCTTTGAGAGTCTCATTGCTACCTTGATGGACACAGGAAAGTCAAAAGATGGTTTGAAATCACAGAAAGACATGATGCAGCTAAACATGATGCCACAGCTTCACCCGGTACCTGAGGCTAATGGAAAATACACTCTGCCCACGGCGTGCTTCAACCTAACACCAGACGAGAAGAGAGCTATATGCACTTTCCTAAGAGGGGTTAAAGTCCCGACTGGGTTTTCAGCAAATGTGAAGAAGCTAGTGTCAATGAAGGACCTGTCAATAACA